TATACACTTGCGCAACTGGATAATAAATGAACAGCGCCGCTTTCCGCTAAAGTTTATGTTCCTGTGCTGACTCCTGGTTCCTAAATTACTACGATTACTAAATACATTTCTGGTCACTGTTCAATCAACCGTCGGGTTCGTCAAGATAAAACTCATTCTACAACTATACTTCACTCTTCAACGACCAACCACGTAATTAACACCTCAAAGAATCTCAAACTAAAACCATCCTTACACTATCCCTGTCGACACTCCAAACAGCAAAAACACTATCATCTGAAAAAGCCTCCTTCCAACAGCTCGAAGCATCCTCTAAATCGAATCTGAATCCTTTCAGAAAAACGGAGAATCACCTCGAAACAGTGGCTCGCTCGAAGTCCGGGGTTACGCTTGCGCGAAATTACAGCGGCGAGTAATGAGGAACTCGCGCCGTTTCCAAGAAAGAAATCTCTAGGACCATTACGGGAGCGGTCGGTAGAAAACTCGAGAGAGAACGCGGGCCTAAACGGCGAGCGGCGTCGGCGAAGGGGGTGGAGCAGCGGCGGCGGCAGCGGCAACGGCAGCAACGAACAGCGACAGGGGAAGGGGGCACGGTAATACACGAGAGCCCGAGCATGATAGAGTCATACATAACTCGGGGCATCCATAATGCATTCAAGCCTGGGGTAAAAACTGCCCTTGTTAGGTTCGCCCCGGCACACCCAGCTTCCTGGGCAACGTCATCCGCTCGCCGGTTTTTGCGGATGATAACGACAAACCGCTCGCCTCTGTCGACCATCGTTGTCTCGTTCTTCGGCCCGGACAGCCATCTTTCGTTTCACTTCAACCCTCTCCCCTCTGTCCCTTATAACCGTCGCTGCCCACCTCTTTTTCGTCCGCGTAGCGCGAGACCAATTACCTGCGCCTGTTCCCGGCCGCGATTATCTTAGCGCGGTCATTCCCGAACCGTGTTTCTTCGGAACCACCCCGATCGCTCGCTGATTAGGCGAGGCGAACGGGTTTTTCGTGGGCAATATTCGCGCGCCGCGATAATAATAATAACGTCTTTATTGCACCGTGACTAAACGAGTGCGTTGACGGGGTGTGGCGCGCGAGCGGAGACGTTTGATGGCGTCGCGTGTTAATTCGAGGACGGCGATAGACGAAGGTAACCGAAGGTCGATCTTCGGAAAAGCCTTCGGGTATTGTCTTTTTGGAACGAAGTTAGTGAAATGTTAAGGACGCTTTAATGGCAGTGGTGTTACCTGCGAACGTGACGCGGAATTGTTACAATTACGGAATCACGCTTGTGGTACTCGCAGCTCGAGCACGCAATGTTCGGTTGTCGAACAGAGAACGGTTCCCGTTTCACCCGCGGAGAGACGCGAGTAAACGCGCGAATTTTTCCGCGGCCGAAGAAAGGGGGATCGCGCAACCGAATGAAGATGTTAAATTAACGATCGTGAAATAGTGGGTTGGCTAACGAGTCTTCCCGGTTTTCTTGTCCGCTGAACTATAGTTAATTAGATAACATTAAATGTAGTTAATTAGATAGTTTATACTAATGGGCCGACTTTCAGCGAGTCAATTTATACGGTGGAAACGGGGAGCGAAGGTTTCCCCGGCCCATCAAGGAGCCGTTCGCGGGCATCATGCGAGCGTCGGACGCGGAGCAAGCGACATCGTAAATTCTTCCGTTGAAAATCCGCTCGGTAATAATTTTCCCGGCGCGGTCATGCGAAAATCGCCGGCTCGGGAGACCGATCGGCTCCGCGCGGCACGGAACCCGCGGCGATTCCAGTTCCGCGACGAAAGAACGGTCTCGCGTCCGATTCTTTTTCCATTCGAGGGTCGTTAGACGTAATTGATGGAATATGGGATCCTTGAAAGATGTAGGATAATCTTGCGACATCAGTTTCCCTCGCACGATTGTGAGCGGCCGCGGTCTCGCTCGATCGGCGACGCGACGCGACGCGACGCGACGCTTGTTTTTCACCGCGATCTCAGCACGAAGATACTTCGAGAGTTTTATTGCGACAGAGTGTCCGTCTAACGATCGATAAAAATCAACTGTTCCGCGCGTTCCCGGGGTCGCGTGTCCTGATAGCCTAGATGCGGACATCGGCTAGATCGGTTCCTGCTTGCGGCCCGGCCGCGATCGCCGGACAGGAGACGAGACCTCGCGAGAGGAATTCTGTCTGACGTTTGTGGAACGGAGTCGAGGAGGATCGGAGGCTGTTTGATTGAAGGGTCGCGCGGATCGAGAGATTTGATTGTGCTGCAGGTAAAATGGGATGCACTCTGGAGGTCTGTGTAACGTGATGGAAGAAGTTTGATAACGTTTGGCTGAGGATATTTCATTTTATCGTGGAAATTTTGGTTTCCAGCTATCTAGGTGGCTTTCGGGATGAACGGTTGAGTTATATTTCAATCTATTAGCAAAATTGTGGCTTGTAAACGAGATAATCCAGTGAAACGTGTAATAATCGAAACGACATGGAATGCTAGGTTTGCAATGTGCAAAATTCATTCCTTTCTTTCAAGAATCACAGAATATCTGCTACTGCACCTTCTATAGTTTCCATAGCACACAATTAAACCTCTGCAGTCAATAGATTACTCTCATTCATTTGACATAGCAACATCAAAAAGTGATGTTCAATCAATATGTGAAATATTTAAATAAAATATCTCCGCTCCTTAATCCATACTTCCAGTGAAAGATTTTCGAGTACGAAGGGTTACCTAACGATCATCCTTCTGAGACGCGTACTTCGAACCACCGAGATAATCCTTTACCCATGTACAATTTTCCACATAACTGCACTTTAGTCAGCGAGTACAAGCTAGACCCGGTGCACTGACAAAATGACTCGACCCGAGATTCCAGAAATCACTGGAATACCTGCAGGAGTCTGTTCGGGTGGCGGAACCCGAGTTATCTCGTTAGATAAAGGCCGCGGGTTCCAGAGCGACGGTGTACCGCCACTACGGAGCGGAAAGAGTTTTCCCGGGGCAACAACTTCCGACCCGAAGCCTTCAATTACGGTCAGGCGACTCGAAGCGGGACATGGTCGAATACTTTAGCACGTAATTCCGATAATAACCGGGTTCTCGCGTGACCGCCGACACTAATATCGAGCGGTATGGGCCTGCGTGTCGCGAATGTCGTGCGAGTCGCGCCGGCGGCCGGCCCCCCGGTGCCCCTAATCATCGACATTGTAAGCCCGCCGTCGGGAAATCCTCGCCGATAGGCGAAAACGGAACGGTACCGACGATCCACGAACCCGTAAATCGGTTTGATAAGTCGCAGTCAGCCGACGCGACGCGACGCGACTCGACGCGACGCGACGCTTCGGCTAATATTCTTCGAGTCCTTTGATGCAGGAGAATAATGGCCACGGGACTCGAATCGATGACACTTCCTGCACCTAGGATAAATTTTGAATCGCTTATGCGGAATGGCAGACATTTCGTGTAGCTTCTAACGTCGACTTTCAGACGATGTTTTGTCATGAATAAAGGATACGATCATTTGCGATTGAAATTGTATCGACGCATTGGAAGTTTGATTTGTGCTCTTCGTTTGGAAGTGAATTTATTTTGAACTGTCCGGCGATTTGCATTAATGAATTATGGTTTTTCGGAACAGTGTATCGTAGACGCAATGTCGGGATGTGTTATTAATATCGCGAAACCGGAGTTGAATGCATTGTTATTATCGGGATAATTCAATTTCCATGGGCGTTGTTTATGGACGAAATCAAAGTGGAATTTATTGGAGTAATTGTTTATTTAATCTTTGAAGTATTTATGTTGACCGTGTCGACTGAGTGTCTTGTTAGTTTCGCGGAACGTTACAACGGGCACTAACTCAAAACTGCTTACGTTATTATTGGAATAAATGTATGGAGCAATTTGTTGGGTGCAACGAACGAAGCGCGGGGAATAATAAGAATTTATTCGGCTGTTATTTTCGATAAACATTTATTGGGAACGATCCCGAGCGGAGTTCGATTCAGCTGCGAGCACGATATTCAGTGATTCATCGCGACACACGCCGTTTAGCTTGTCTTTTATCCCCTCGGAAGGGATTATCGCCCTTCACCCTGCGATTGCACAAGTGTCCGCGTTTCGAATCTCGGGCCTGATAATGCGACGCTAATGCGAATTATACGGCCGGGTTTCTCATAACCGAAGCTTAAGCGAGTCCTTAAAAGAGATCTCTACCGAAGGTAATAGTGGCGCGGCGCGGCGCGCCGATCGATTCGGTTGTAAAATTGCGCGAGTAATTAGGGCCATGAGTTGAGCAAGATATGCGTCTTTTGATAATGTTTTCATTGCTTGTAAGTCTGACTTACGACGATCAATTTTATATATTTGTTAATCGAGTTCTGGGGTTTCTTGTTTCCCGAGGGGAAAATACCAGGTGGAGGAGAAGGGTTAAGACCAGAGCCGAGAGTGAGCATAATTGCGAATATACTCGAACTTTCATTGGATTGTTTCGAATAGTTTACGAGCTCTTCGGAAAATAACCATTGATTGTTTTAAGTACTTATGTTACGTTTTAAGTATATACAACTACAAACGCATGCGTACCGCCGAAGTATATTCGAATCGAGGCTCAAGATTCGAGGCTCAAGAATTCTACAACATCCAACTCTAAATAGAAAATTACTTCGCAATATTTTCAAACCTTACAAATACTTATTTCAATGTTTATAAAATAGTATTCCTCTGCACAGTGCTACTGCTCGCGTCAATTAGACGCTAAATCTGAATCAGTCCATCGAATACAGAAACATTGCGTTGAACTCCTGCTCTAAATCAATCCCAGTTCTAAGTACTCCAACGAAACAATCCCTTACTAAATACATCTACGAGCTGCTTAATGGTAAGCTAAACGACTCGAACAATTCCCTGTGACCGAATGTTTCAGCAGCGGTGGCTTCCCTATCGACGGCGTGTCTCGTTTACAAAGTATTAACGCGTACGCGAGAGAACGAATGATATACGCTCACCGTTTGGACTGGTGGGTCCTCCGTGCGGCGTGTAAAGATGTCCGTGAGGATTGTGCGGGTGCGGGGGTGGGGGTAGCCACGCGAACCCCGCCAGGGAATGCGGAAATCCCGCAGGATTCCATCCGGGTGCGCCGGGTGCCCCGGCTAGGTAAGGCGGCCCTTGGGATGGCCTCTGGACACCCGGATGAATCGGCTGAGGCACTACCGGGCTGGACTTCTCCTCCTTCTCCTGGTTGCCCTCCATGTCCCTCTCCAGCTCGCAGTCCGAGTCCATCACGTTCAGGTCTTCGGACTGGCCCACGCTTCTGATCTCTTGATCCTCGAGATCCAGATGATCGGTGGTCCTGTCGCCCTCCAAGGAACGGTTCGCCTCGGAGTCGCTTCTATCGTCCATGATCTCGCGTCTGCTGGCAGGCGACACCGATCGCGGGTTGGTGATCCTGTCGATCCTCTCGTCGTCCTCTTGGCCGCGTTCGCGCTGGATCATAGATTCGGTGATCCTGCTGGCCGGCGAGCTAGCGGACAACCGCCGATCGTCCCTGTCTCTCTGGACCTCTTGGTCTATCCTGATAGGCGACGAGGACTTGTCGAGGCTGGTGGTCCTGGAGAAATCCTTGACGGTCAGGATCTCCTGCCGGCCAGCCGACGGGTGATCCTGCTCCAGCCTGCTCGACGGATGATGGTGGTGATGATTGGCGAACGTCAGACCGTGCGGGCTCAGTCTGGCCAGCAGCTCTCTGCTCTGCAGCCTCTGCTGCTCGATCAGCAATTCGCGGTACCTGGCCTCCATGTCCAGGCACTTCTCGGACTCCAGTCGGTCCTCGGCCTCTCGCCTGGCGAACGCCCCGCCGGTAACCGCTGTCTTCTTCATGTCGCTCAGCAGGGAGTCCACGCTGAAGCTGATCTTGCCGCTCCGCGGCTTCAGGTTCGACGATGCCGACGTCGGGGTCGCCATGTCCACGTCCTCGCAGAGACGATCGCTGCCGGTGCCTTGACCTGTCACCACTCCCTCGCTGCTGCTCATGATCCTCTCGTGTCCTTCGGGGTCGCGGCGACAAATTCTCGATGAGTCTCCGCGCTTCGCGTCAGTCTTCTGGGGTTCGAGTCTTCACGAGTGTGGAGCAGCTTCGCTGGGAAACCGCGTTGCATTTAATTTGGAGTCTTCGGGGTCGATTAACTTGTCATCGGACGTAGCGAGCGCAGTCTCGATCGAGCGAAACATCGAGGGGTTCTAATCTTAGTTGCGCAATTCATCAACAGCGAGTCGTCGGATTCAACGACAAGGTGTCAGAGTACTTGAAGCATTTCAATGACCACTCCAATTACAATTTACACTTGGTACACGTCACTCTCTCGCGAATCAATTTTCCCGTGACTGTCCATCGATTATCACCGACATCGTCCAAGAGGTCATCGCCCCTCGCTTTTATTGTCCACACAGGCCGCGTCCGCGCGAACTGTTTAAACCGTCAACGGGGCGGGCAACAAAGAGGACTGTCATCGCAGCGGCGGCTCTTCGATCGGCTGTCCGTCTAGCTCGCAATCGGTCGTCGCGGTATCATCAGGAACGCTCACGGCCTGCCATCCCGGCTGTTCCCGGGGCCCGTTATTCTCGGAATCCGCCGCATCGCCGCGGACCGACCGACCCGGCACGAGCGGATCCCCCCATTAAAGTCCGGAGCAGTCTCTTTAAGAGATCAACATGTCTCCTGAACTCCTCCGCTCGGCATACTCGATCAACATTATTTCAATCTCTACTATCCTCTATTCAACTATACGATCATCCAAGCTCGCAGCCTCTTTCCCTCAAACAACTCCAACGATTCGACCGATCTGCTCCAGAGCAAGCAGGTACAAGTGTCTCTAGCCACCGAAGATCGTCTACGACACTGTCACTGCGTCAGATACCCATCTACGCCGAATGGAACGTGTCAAACATCCATGTCCCTTAGGCCAGGCAACGGTATCAACGGTATCAACCCTGAAGACAGTCCCTAAATTCAAGTGTATCAGTTTCTTCTGCTGCCTCACGGTTCGCTGCCGGTGCAACGATTCTCGGTAGAGCCGGAGTCGCGTCACAGGACATAAGTCCCCGTCGCGAGTTTCACGCACGGTCCCCCGGCACTGTCACACAGGCCGCGCGTCACAACCGTCGGATACGCGGGGGGGTATAGTGCCACGGGTGGTAATCTGCGTAATCTGCCGCGTGGTGGCCACTGCTGCCGCGGAAACGACACTGATTACCAGGCTCGGCTGCGGAGAGGCCTGCCGGAGAGGCCGAGGCGAGGCGAGGCGTTCTCTCTCTCCTCTCGGTGGCGGCCGGCGTCGCGGTGCTCGCCGCCGGGTGATCGCGCGCCGCCCCCGCGGAACCCGTGGAACCGGTACCGTGTCGCGTCCTCGGCCAATGCGGGCCACTCCAGTCACACCACGAAGCGAACCCGGACCCCTCGG